AAACCAAAGGGTGGGATGGTCTCTGAGGGTGGCGAATGCAGCCTAGGGGTTGAAACTCCTAAGGGCATCCACACATAGATAACAGGGAGACACATGTCATCAGGCTCAATGAGGGTAGGGAACTGAGAGCGAACAGAACTAATGACCCTAAATGATAGACCATCAGGGCAGGTAATGCTCCACTAAGGGGTGACCGCTATGGAGGGTCGACCATGGGAATAAGGGAGCCTGGTATACTGGGCGCACCTAGATGAAGCATGCGGGGCTGCCTAACTAGGGCGTGAGGGCCGAGGAAGGGTAGAAAGATGATGGGTAAGGGAATCATCCCAATGACTCCTAAAGTGAGGGAAGTCGAAGCTAGATCCGTAAGATGGGAAGCCAAGACAACGCTACGGTCCCGATGCCTATGCGTATACCAAGGGAGAGCCCAACGCAGAGGAACCCGGCTAAAGGGAGACCATCATGTGACACAAGCAGGGTACTGTACAGGGTAAAGGGGTATAAGAGAGTGGCGACGTCTGAAGTAGGCAAAGCTGATCGTGATGAAGTCCATGGAGCTGCCGATGATGTCCGCGATGAAAAGTCCGGAATGCCGTCGAGGAAGAGCCGCAGCGTCGACGAGCTGAAGTAGCAAGACTGATGTGGATGGAGTGAGAAGTCAAAGACGTGGGAAGGTAAGTCAGAGTCAATCGTCGTATCGAGCAGGACAACGGCGAGTGCGCTAGGGACGCTCAGAGGCATCCGGCTGCTGCTGAAGGTCTGCCTCAGATGGAGCAGGCTCGACTTCAGCGGTTTCCTCAGCCGGAGGAGAAGGAGGAGGGTCAGTGGGCTGAGGAGGACCAGTGAACCCTGCACGACGAGCACGCTCATAGGCACGCACCAACACGCGAGCGTGCTCCAAGTGCTCGAGGGGCTCCCAAGTAGCCTCCTCATCAGGGTAACCCTTCCAACATACGAGATACTCGATGTGGGGAGGGTTGTCGTCGGTGACACGACGACCTATGATGTCTGAAACGAGGAACTCCTCGTGACCGTCCACCATGATGGGTGGAGGGCGCTCGTATGGTCGTCCAGCGAAACGCGCAGATGGTCTGCGGTAAGGACGCAGTAACGAGACGTGGTAGACATCGTGCACACGAGCCTGGCGTAGGTAGTCGGGCAGCTTCACACGGAAGCTGACCGGGCTAGATGCCGTATCAGAACCGACGGCCTGGAGGATGCGGCATGGGCCAAAAAAGCGACGCTGAAACTTGCGAAGCGTGTCCGCTTCGAGCTGTAAGTGGCGGTCGTCGATAAGCACATCATTACTGATTTTGAATGGATGGTCCATCCTCGATCGGTTCGCACGTGCTGCCATGCGAGTCTGGGACGCGGCTATGTGCTCATGTGCGGTCTTCATGATCGACGTCATGCGTGCCACCCAATCGTCCAACGCGGGACAACTCGTGTCGGGGTGCAGCAGGGATGGTCGAAAGAAGTCCGCGGGAACACGAGGGTGATAGCCGAGGTCGCAATAGTAAGGCGACATCCCCGTGGCTGGCGAGACGGCGTGGTTGTAGGCTATCTCTGCGTGGACAAGATGGAGATCCCATTGCTGGTCGTCACGAACAATCTTTCGGAGAATATCTCCGAGAATCCTGTTCGTGATCTCGGTCTGACCATCTGTCTGAGGATGGTAAGACGAGGAGAAGCGGAGCTGAGTGCCGTACACCTCGTGGAGCCGTCGCCAGAATCGGCTGGTAAAGCGCGGGTCACGGTCATATATGATGCTAAGAGGTAAGTCGTGGTCACGCACGACTCGGTCGAATACGATGTCGGCGACCTCACGTGCAGTGATGGCATAGTGGCATGGAACAAAGCGTGCACGCTTCGTGAAGCGGTCGACGACGACCTGGATAGCATCATGACCGCGAGGGGTCAGAGGACGAAGAAGACCGATAAAGTCCATCGAGATGGACTGCCAACGACCCTCAGGGATAGGAAGAGGCTGGAGCAAACCATAACGCAAGTGGTTCGCACTCTTCACCTCCTGACAGGTCGGACACTCTGCGACGTAGTCCTTCACAAAGTCCTTGCGCTTCGGCCAGACGTACAGGCGGCTCACACGAGCCAACGTCTTGTGGAAGCCCATATGACCGGCAACTGCCTGGTCATGGAACTCTGCTACTGCTCGGACACGTAGCTGTCCAGTGGAGGGAATGCAAATACGGGGCTCTCTGGTGCCCCGTGAACCGTGCCAGTACACAAGACCGTTGTCCCCGAGAGAGTAGTTCGGGACGGTCTTGCCACTCCGAAGGGTCGCGTGGATGTCGCGATCGTCAGGGCAGTGGCGGTACTGAGTGCGAAACTCGTCGATCACCGAGTGGTGGGCGGTGGTGACCGAGATGGAAGAGAGCTGGATCTGCTCCTGGTCGTGGTCAGGGCGCCGGGATAAGGCATCTGCGACCCGATTAGTTTCACCCTTGATGTGCTCAGTGGTGAAACTAAACTCGGATAGGTCGCACCACCAGCGAGCCTGTCGAGGAGTGAGCTTCGGTTTTGTCAGAAAAGCCTGGACAACAGCGTTGTCTGTACGCAGTGTGAACGTTGCCCCGTGCAGGTAGTGACGCTAGTGCCGAGCGGCATAAACTCCTGCGAGAACCTCACGTTCATCAGCGGTGTAATTTATCTCGGCGGGCAGGAGCTGATGGGAGTAGAAGGCTATCAGACAATCACCGGAGCGAGACTCGACAGTGCCGTCCTCGACGATGGTAGGAGAAAGTGAATAAAAGGCTCGTCAGTAGTTCAACGAGTAGACGTCAGTCGGAAAGCAGTAGTAGGGTTAGGTGGTGGGAAGCGAGGGATACGAGGATGAGAGGAATCAGGAGAGGAGGGGAAGACCTGATAAAGCACTGCTCCTACAGCGAAGTCCGACGCATCGGTGGTAAGGATAAAAGGGCGGTCAAAATCGGGTAGGTGAAGAACCGGTGCGCATGTCACCGCCTTCTTGAGGGCATGGAAGGCGTCCTCGTGGAGGGGTGTCCAAGCCCAGGGTGGGTTCTTTCGGAGGACGGTGGAGGTAAGGACGTAGGAATACCTAGCGTATCCCCGGATGAAGTTACTATAGTAGCTGGTTAGGCCTAGGAAGCTGCGAAGCTGCTTGGTGGATGTGGGGGCGGGCCACTCCGCAATAGCAGTGATCTTCGCGTCATCCATGTGGAGACCCTGTTCAGACACGTAGTGTCCTAAGAAATCCACTTTGTGCTGGGCAAAGCGGCACTTGCTCAGCTTGGCGTAGAAGCCATGTCTGCGCAAGCGATCAAGGACGTCGCAGAGGTGTCTGAGGTGCTCCTCAAGGGTACGACTGTAGACCAGGATATCGTCGAGGTAGACGAGAACGTACTGCTCCAGGATGTCCCTTAAGATGTCGTTCATTGCCCTCTGGAAGGTGGCGGGTGCATTGGTGAGGCCGAATGGCATCACCGTAAACTCGTGGTGGCCGAAGCGCGATCGGAACGCTGTCTTCGGTTGGTCAGCTGCAGCGACGTGGATCTGATGGTAACCGCTACAAAGATCAATTTTCGTAAAGAAGTGGTTGCCTGCTAGGCGGTCGAACAGCTCATCGGAAGGAGGCATGGGGTAGCTGTTGTTAACCGTGTAGCGGTTGAGACTGCGATAGTCGATGCAGAGACGGAGAGTTCCATCCTCTTTGCGAGCAAAGAGGACGGGTGGACCCCACAGCGAGTTGTTAGGTTTAATGAAACCCAGTCTCAGGAGCTTCTCAAGCTGACGCTTGAGTTCGTTGGCCTCGGGGATCGAGAGTCTGTAGGGTGCCTGGTGGTGAACACGATAGTCAGGCACAAGCTAAATGGAGTGCTCGACGTCACGCATCGGTGGGATGCCGGCGTACACGAACGACGATGGGAAAACGTCATGGTACTCTCGGATGAGGTCACGGACTGTGGGCTCCAGGTCAGCCGTATATTGTGCGAGTTCCTCTGCGTCAGCGTCAGCGCCCGACGGCGGGGTGGACTCGACGGATGGAGGAGGGACGGAAGTAGAGATGGGAGCCATGGAGATAGAGGGAGGATCCGGCTCCAGAGGGATGAGCTCGGCGTCGGGACAGGGTGGATCATAATGTAAGAGATCCGTCACGTCCACCATAAAGAAGGTGACATCGTCCTGCCGAATAAAGTGAGCGAACTGCCGAGGCGAGGTGACAGTGATAGAGGGGGATGGTGTGGGCACTGACGGCTCCGGGGGAGGAGAATCGGGGCGTGGTATCGCCGTGGTACCTATGAAAGGTACGCGATACGTCTGTCCACACTTCCTTTTGAGAACGAGAGTGTTGGTCGCCCAATCGGCCTCGGTGCTGCGGAACCGACGAGACCACAAAGTGCCGGGAATGAAGTCGTACCCCTTCTCCATCACATTGAAATGTGCAGAGGAGCGATGGCGACGAGACGCCGGGGAACGGTCAGTCGGCTCGAGAGTGAGGAAGAAGGGGAGGTCGATGACCGTCTGATCGAAGAATCGCGGGGTCTTGTCATCCTCTAGGGTAACGGAGATGGGAGTCGGCGACCCTATCGTGGGTAAGCGGGCTTCCTTCACCACTCGTAGGTGAATTAAGTCGCCCTGAGAACCAGGATCCCACAACGCTGAGTACACCCTCGTGGAGGTCCCGAGTCGTACTGGGATTTTCGGGAGGGTGCGATTTGGGTTAGAGAGGATGGCGAGAAGGCGACGCAGTGCAGCGACATTGAGGGTGAGTCGCTCCTGACGAGCCTCGAGCATGCTCAAGTCCAGAAGAGAGGACACAACGTCCTCGCAAGTAGCAAGCTGCTCGCTGCAACGGGCTGAGCGAATGGCTCGACGCGTCGGTAGTCGCGGCGGGGAAGGAGGGGATACGGTGGTCTGCGGAGGCGCAGACGGTACTCCGACAGGGGGATGAGTACACTCTGTCGAGTCCTGCGATACCTCAACTCCAGTAGCGAGAGGGGCTAACTGCGACGGAGATGTTGGGAAGCCCAGGAAGGCGCAGGTGTACACTGCACCGTGGCTAGGAGGCGCCGCGGGGACGTGAGGCGCCGAGGGGGGACTCAGCACGACGCTGACGAGAAAGATCAGCGTAGTGGCGGTCGAGGGCGGTAGTGTAAGGGTAACGCGAGGAGGTACGGCCGTCCAAGCGGCAGTGCAAACAACCACGTCGGCCTACAATAGTCGCGCGCTCCTCAGCGGAAAGGACACCGCGAGGAGGGAAGAAGCCTGGAGGGAGGTCCTCCTGAGGGACCTGGGGGGGCGACGCGCCAGCGTGACCGGGGCGGCTGCGTGCTCGAGAGAGGGCGGAGAGTGCGAGCTGAAGGTGCTCAGCTGCAGGGAGGGTCGAGTCCTCCAAGTGATAGTGGACGGCCTCGCAGAGATCGAGGTCGTCGCTGTGGTCGCCCTCAGGTGACAGTGGGGCAACAGCGTCCTGTTCACCGTACTCCAGCGTGCTGAAGCGGCGCGAGAAGTGGCGGCCCTACTACGTGGAACGGCGGGGGTGACCGCGGAAAGGGGAATGGTGCTGGGAAGTGCCATGAGAGGAGGAGGAGGCGTAGCCCGTGCGCCGGGGCTGGGAGGAGGAGGCGGGGTGAAGACGGGCTCGCATCCGCTGGTGGTCCCTGGCGGCCTCGTAAGCCTGTGGGGCCGATGTGAACTCGTACCGTCATAGCTCGGAGCGGTACTCGAGCGGAAGGCTGGCCAAGAAACGATCAATAAGGGCAGCCTCGGGGAGGAACGCCACGTTGCAAACGAGGCGGGCGTCCTGAAAGACCTGGATGTGGCGATCCAGACTGGCAGCGCCACCAGAACCTGACCAACGTGTAGTGACGACACGCGCGAAGGCGTCAGTCACGTCGTATCGGGCTCCGAAGCGATCCTCGAGGAACGCCTGGAAATCCATGAAGGTCGGAGTCCGACCCTCACGAAGGGAGTAGGCATAGAAATCCTCTCAGGCCTCGAAAGGACCGCCACGCAAGCGCGTCGAGAGGTGACCCACCCACGTCTCGGGTGTGGCGCCCATGAGCTGGAGTGTGCGGGTGGCAGACTGCAGCCACCGAGACACGCGTATGCCTGTACCGTCATACAAGGCAATGTCCGACAAGCGGATGAGTGGCGCGCCACTGTTTTGGCGGTGAGGGGATTGAGGAGCGGAGACCTGTGCCACGACTGAGTAAGTCGGCGCAGGTCCTGGAGAAAGGGGCGCAGCTGACTGTGCATCCGGGCCGCATGGGGGAGCGACAGTGGCAACAGCGGCAGGTTGCGAGGGTGCTGCGGTAGAAGAGGTCGCAGCAACCGTGGGAGTAGGAAGAAGGTAGGAAGGAGTTGTATAGGGTGCAGGGCGCGGAAAGCGAGCCTGCATGGGAGGAAGGGTAGAGGAGGTAGGGGGTGCGCCCGAAGGCGCGGCCACCTGTGAGGGTGGGGGTGGCTGAAGTCGTAAGAGGGCGAGGTCGGCCCGGAGCTAGGCAATCTCGTCCGCGAGACCTCAAACATAGGTCGATCGAGGGGTGGCGGGAGGAAGAGTGGAGGGGGTGGACGCACAAGCGGCGCGGGGCATCCAAGAGGTGGGAGAGCCAGGTGCCGCTGCGGTCGTGCGAAGGGGAGGGAGAAGCGGGGCACCCGGAAAAGCTGAGACCATGGTAGCGGGTTGTTGTACCGTGGCCGTAGTGACCGGGATCTGGGCAGGTGCGCCCGTAGACTGAGGGGGGGCCTGGCTCGTGGCGGCCGTCGTGCTAGGGGCGTGGACAGTCACCAAGATGGCCGGGTCAGGGGCAACCGAGGAGGAAGCCCCGCCGTGGCCACCCTGTCGGACGACGGGGGACCCGGACAGGGAGCCAGGAGATGGCGGACACGCAGCGTCCTGGAGTTGCTGCATGCCGGCGGCAAGGGTCGCCACCTGCGCCTGTAAGGGCGCGAGGGTCGCGAGTTGTGCCTGGATGGGCGCAAGGGTCGCGAGTTGCGCCTGGATGGGCGCAAGGAGGGAGGTGAGGAGGGTATGTAGATCCCCGTGGGGCAAATGGCCCTGGTCCGCCGGCACGGGTGTGGAGCCCGATGTCGTGGTCATCGCCGTCACGGCGGCGTATGACGCACCCTCAGCCATTGGGAGATGACGGACTGGACTGGAGGGGGGCAGAAAAGGTCCGCGTGAGCGGAGGGCGTAGGGGGAAGTCCGCGGTAGAAAGCGGCGAACGGCGCTAGCAAGGCTAGCACGGGCACCGTCAAAGGGGGAGGGGTGGTTCGGGTCCAGGGTGCTCGAAGAGGACGGGGAAGTAGGGGGGTTTTGAGGAACCCTAAACCCTACAAAAACCTTAAGAAAACCCTAACCGAGGTTTAAGGCTAGGGTAGGGTACTGGTGACCTAATCAAGAAAGTGAAATAGCAAGCGTAAGGGGGGGGGAGACGGGAGAAAAATAAATAAACAGCGAGATTTCGGAAGAAAATAAAAATAAATAAGAAAATAAATAAATAATAAAAATAATTAAAGAAATAAGTAAAGAGATGTGAAGAGAAACAATATTTTTTTTTTTTTTGAAATTTTCGGCAGCATTTCCCTACCCCCCACAGGGTCAAGAATGTGCCAAGGGAAAAGGAGAGACCGAGGTGTGCACACTAGAGATGCCGCAAATAAATAAATAAATAAATAAATTTCAAAAAATAAATAAAGAAATAATAAATAAATAAATAAGTAAATAGGTGTGTAAGGAGGTGGGGAGAAATGGGTTATCTGATTTTCAAAAATTTTGGCAGCATTTCGTTACCCCCATGGGGTCGAAGTGTGCCGAAAAGACTAAGTACGAAAAAAAAATCAGAAAATTTCGGCAGCACTTCGTTACCCCCACGGGGTCAAAACGTGTGCCGAAAGCAAGAAAGGCTAACACCTAATCAGATTTAGGGTTGCCGCCAAGAATTTTCAGAATAAGTAAAAATAAATAAAATAAATCAAAAAAATAAGAAAAGAGGGTGGGGAAGAAGATGAGATAACTAATAACTAATCAGATTTAGGGTTGCCGTAGAGAAATTCGAATTTTCAGAATAAATAAAAAAATAAATTAAATAAATCAAAAAATGAGAAAAGAAGGTGGGAAAGAAGATATTTCAATTTTTTGGAAAAAGAGCAAAGATAAATCAAAAGAGAGGTGGAAAGAAGAAAAACAGAAAAATTTTCGAAGTAGGGGGGAAGGGGAATGAAAAGTGAGGGAGAAAAGAAAGAAATAGGCGGGGGGAGAGAAAAAGATGAAGTGGGAGGTGGGGGGATGATGTGGTGGTAGTTGGGGGAGAGGAGGGTTGGGAAAAGGTGGAGAGAGATCAAGAAGGAAGAAGAAAACAAGGAAGGAAAAGAAGAGATGAAGAAAATAGAATAAGAGAATGGGTGGTGGGAGAAAGGTGGGGTGGGGAAGATAAAAGGAGGAGAGGAAGATGCAGTAGAAGGTGGGGGAAAGAGAAGGGGTGAATAAGAGGAGAGAGGAGAGGTAGGGAGATTGGGTTAGGAGAGGAAGAGGGGAGAAGGGAGTGATACCTGACCCTTGGTGTCTCCAAGGGCAGAAGGTACACCAAGACCAGGAGGGTCTTGGTCTTTGCTGCAGCAGCCAGTTGGAGGAGAGAGGGGGGGCTGAGATCTTGATCAGCCCCCAGCAGCACTTCTGCAGATGTCCAGATGTAGGGTCTGTTGTGTGAGCACGCCCTCTCCACTGTAGAGCAGCCCCCTAAGCAGGGGGGGTCTTTAGTCCCACCACAGGCTGCCACGTGGCCGTGGAGATGGCCACGTCTACAGGCAGCAGCAACCGCGGGGGGGGGGGGGGGGGGGGGGGTAAATAGCCAGCACGTTACTTCTTCAACACGATTGTGCCGTGTTACAAAACCATGGACACACTATGGCGAGTTTATTATGAGGCTGGTTACGCACACGCATGGCTCGGCAAGTGCCTGGGTTCAAACCCCAGTGGCAGCAGTTGCATCCTGGATCTTGATACTATGAAATTCGAGAGCGGGGCAGGGCGGGGCAGCGGGGCCGCGTGGCGCACGCACGCACGCGTGCCTTGGCCTTGCGGCTTCCTTTTTCGCCACATGGAGCTCTCCTGCTGCAGCACCTTTCTTTGTTGTTTTTCCCGCTTTTTCGCCCGAAAACGGCCGGAAAACAGCCAAAAACCCGACTGTCGGGTTTTGCCGTATTTCCCTGCTGTGGGGTGTGGTGGGTGGGGGCGGGGACCGTTCCCGCTCCGATACCAATGTGGCGGACCCACCAGGTGTGGTGCTCCTCTAGTGACAGAGGTGGAGATGGAGGGAGARGGAGGGAGCAAGGTGCACAGCGCAGCTCCCCACGCAAGACTCCAACGCACGTACTCCAAAATGTGCAAGTGAAGAATGAGCSTGAAAACAGACAATGGCTGGGGTATACCCCAGCGGACTGACGGGACTGGACTGGACTGGCTGGTACCGACAGAGATACCGGCCTGGACTGGCCTACCCCGAATACAACACAGGCCTGTGAGAACAGGCCAAGGGGCTGGTCTCACAGGCCAACCCAAGGTCCGCTACACAGTGCGACTGTTGTTGTTGATTTGGAATCTCTCTGACCATATTTGATGTTGATGTCAAGGTTTTTCGCTCTCGCAGTCTCTCGGTGCTTGGACTCCTGAGCGACCTTTCATCCAAGTGACACGTGTATGGAATTTTTGCATACCAGGTCCTATTCTACAGATTGGATCCCGTAAACAAATCCCCACCCTCCCTTCACTCAAGACACGTGGCTCCAGTGATTGGATGCAGATAAAAAGGACATGTGGCTCCCATTGTCGCTGTGCAGAGTGCAGCGAGACCACGAGGAAAGATGAATTAACCTGCGGAGCAAAATAAAAAAAAAATAAAAAAATGTAAGACTTCCTCCAGTCACAGTGAGGCAAGGTTCACTGACAACATGTGGCTCGCTCCCGCTGTTGCTGCTGAGCACTGACGACACGTCCACTTAAGAAACGTGGATCCCATCGGCCCTGCGCTGTGAGGCCGCATTCTCTTAAGACAAACGTGGCTCCCATCATGGCTGCGCAATGATACCGCCTTGAGTTAAGACACGTGGCTCCCACTCTAGCCGAGCTGTGAGGCCACATACTCACTTAAGACACGTGGGTCCCGTTGTGCCAATATGGCAATGGGTGATGGTGCCGGGTGGGTGGTTAACACTACAGTCTTCCCTCGAATACAACGTACGGTCATTACAGCTGAATTTAGACCGAAAGATACGCCAAATTCAGCTATAATGACCGTACGTTGTATTCAGGGGAAGACTGTAGGGTAGGACAGGGGGGGTGGGGGTGCGCCAGGGCAAAAATGATAAGAGGAAGGGTGGGTGGGGTCTTCAGAGGGATTCAGCGGGACAACCAAGTGACCGAGTGCTGTGGGTAACTATCATTGGTCTAGTATCCCACCTCTACAACAACCTGAGCTTAAAAGGGAAAAAAAAGAAAAAAAAAACGAAAAAGAAAGACACGTGGCTCCCATTGTTGATGTACAGTTTGGCCACGTGGAAAAGCAACTTAACCTGCAGAGCTAAATGCATGACATCTTACGTTAGTACGTCGTTCACTTTACGCGGGAACACATGCAGACCACGTCTCGACGTAACTCCCCGCTGTGCAGAAATGGCGGGAAAGTGTTTTACGGGGTGCAAAAATGGCGGGAAAGTGTTCTACAGGGTGCAAAAATGGCGGGAAAGTGTTTTACAGTGTGCAAAAAATGGCGGGAAAGTGTTTTACAGGGTGAAAAAATGGCGGGAAAGTGTTTTACAGGGTGCAAAAAATGGCGGGAAAGTGTTTTACCGGGTGCGAAAATGGCGCCAAAAGTCATCTCGGGGCCTGAGTCACTTTTTGCATACCAGTGTCGTAAGACTTCTGCACGCCACGTGGCAACAAGATTGCCTGCACAGTGATCTTTCTTACACAACATTCCTCAACTGTTTTTTTTTTTTTTTTTTTTTTTTTGATAACATTCCTCAACTGTTGAAAGCACAGCTCATCTAAAAGCAACAAGTCTATAGATTATTGCTGCAATCAAAACTGGCCTGGCTATTGGCTATTGCTGTGCCCGGTTGTGAATAGAATAGCCTATAGATTATTCTAGCATTATAACTACTTGTTATGCCAAAGAAACACGTCCAAAAAAAAAAAAAAAAAAAAAAAAGGAAAGAAACACATCCCGTACCCCTCTTCTTCCGGGGCAAGGTCCCACTTCCGCAAATTAGGAGATTTCGGCCGTTGATCTTTTTTACATGTACGGTCAGTATCTCTTAATTCGTGCAAGTGGGACCTAGGTCCCGGAAATTAACACTGTTGCCCCTGTCCCATTCCATCGAGATGAAGGGTGCGTTTTACTCAGGCGACGATGGAACCACCGTCTTTTCACCTGAATAGAATGCCCGGTCATTATAGCCGCACTTGGCACACCGTCCAGTCCAGATGCAGCGATAGACAACGGGCGTTTTATTCGGGTGAACACTGTAGGGAAACGTACTAAAAAAAAAAAAAAAAAAAGGAGAAACCCAAAAAAAAAACAAGAAAAGAAAAGAAAAGAAAAGAAACGTACGGCCTTAAATACCACCTTGAAGGTCAACAACTCGATTGACCGATAATATTTTTGGCGTTAGTCCGCTTTTCTCTCGATTTTACTTTCTTTTCTTTTTTTTTTACGCTGAGGCCCCAGGTACAATTTTCGTAACAGGTAAAAAACCTCCCCGCGGTGAAACCTTTGTATTCATTTCACCTTTACAAAAGAACGGCGGAACAAAAAAAAGAAAAAAGAAAAAAAAAAGAAAAGAAAGGCGGAACCGCTTGGGGTGCTCGTAGAATCTTGGGTCCCACTTGTGAGGCTAGCAGAATACCCAGGTCGGACCGCCTCTTCAAAAAAAAAAAAAAAACCTCGCATTCGTCGTTCGTGGAGGCAAGAGAACGTAAAAGGTCCAAATGCTTGCACCTAACGCACATGCACCTAACGTAAGACGTCCAAATGCATGCACCTGTTACGATAATAACGCACGACAAGCGGTTCCGCCTTTGACTTCGTTTCCATACGCTTTCTGGTCCTTCTCGGGGGCAAGGTCCCACTTGCGCAAATAGGGAGATTTCGGCCGTTGATCTTTGCTATCTACAGTCAGTATCTTTGACTTCGTGCAAGTGGGACCTAGACCCGGGGAAGGTCCCAGAAGCAAAGAGGATTGGACTGAATGCCTTTGTGGACGCGTTTGTGAAAACAGTCCAGAAAATGGAGATTAATCTGCTTTTCTGAATCCGTTTTTAAAGCACGACCAGATTCAGGAGCGTAATCCAATCCTCTTCGCTAGATTCTTCCCCCGAATGCAACATACATTCTAGCTGTATTCGAGGGATCTTTCAGTCTAGATACCGCTATGATGACCGTGCGTTGTATTCGGTAAGCATCCCCCGAATACAACGTACGGTCATTATAGCTGTATCTAGACTGAAAGATGCCTCAAATACAGCGTAATGACTGTACGTTGTATTCGGGGGAAGAAGGTAGTAAATCCAAAAGGTACCACCCTAAGTCAACCAATACCTACCCGCCTGCAGCACCCCAGCCATCTCTGAGCCAGATCTACAGTCATCCCGCGAATACAAGTTATTACGGTCATTATAGCTGAATTTGGGATATCTCTCGGTCTTGATACAGCTATAATGACCGTACGTTGTATTCAGGCGAAGAAAAAGTGAAACACGAACCTGTACAAAAACACGGTCCAACCACATCACTGGTCACACACACACCCCAACCAACTATTGATCTCGCTGCACTAAAAAACACCACACACACACACACACACACAACAAAACAAACAAAACAAAACAAAACAAAACAAAACAAAACACAAAAAAAAAAACAAAAAAAAAACACCACACAGTCCTTCGGGACGTCCGTTAAAATTGGAACGATACAGAGACTGAAGATTAGCATGGCCCCTGCGCTTTCAAGGATGACACGCATAAATCGAGAAGTGGTCCAAATAACATTAAAAAAAAATACAAACAAAAAAGCACCACACATACGTGGACGTTGTCTAAACCGGATGTAATCACATGATTGGAATAGTCCGAATGCACCTGGTCCCTAAAATGTCCAACTGCACGTACAGTGTCCAGTAGCTGAGCGAGGCCCTAATATCCACACATCATGAAACACGAACCTGTACAAAAACCACCCTCCCTCCACGCATATCACTGTCAAACAGACTCCGGACGTCGCTCCCTTCCTCTCGATATACACAAACCGCAAAAAATGATCCCGGTACATTATTTTTTCATTTTATAGAGGTAAGATTTACTCTCGTTCCGCACATCTTGACAATAGTGGAGCGACGCCCTCAATTCCGATCATACAGAGCACTTTAAAAGCCTCTTCAAAACGTGTCCCCTACCTATGCCCAGCCTAAATTCTAATTTTCTTCTTGAGAATTCAGACTACAACCGCCTTGTGTTATTCCCTCCCCTCTCATACTAGCGTAGACCGGCATAGCTTCAGACATTCAATCTCTCAACAATTTGAAAACCCCCGTTTCCCATTGGTGCCGTAAGAAGCGGAACTGGCTAATGCTGGCAGAGGTTTCTACACCGGGTTGAATTGTGGGGACCCCGGCCCCAACTATTCTTTTACTTATATTACAATATTCGTCAAAAAAATATAAAAAAACCGTGTCCCTCAACACGGCAAACAGATTCCTCATTGACCGACGACAGTTCCAACGGCACGTTTATTGAGGAGGACACGTTGGGACGACGGCGAGCCAACAAACACCCTCCAAGCAGATCACTGTTCAGACAAACTGAATGATCGACCACCAACACAGCACGTCAACGTGTCCCGCACTGAACGACGACAGTTCAATCCACTCAAACTGTTACAATCCATCTCGTCCCAACGTGTCCCCCTCAGTAAACGAGGGCAATTTCAAATCCACTCACACTCTATACACAAAACAATCCTCCATCCCAACGTGTCTCTCAACTAATGACGAGAATTTCAAATCCAATCACACTGTATACAAATCACCAAACGTATCACTCAATGAACGACGACGATTTCAAATCCAATCACACTGCATACTAATCACCGTCCAACCATATCACTGTTGGAACACGCTCAATAACCAATCACACATAACACCGTTCGAGCCGTTTCGAAAGGAAGACTCGTCCGCTTCCTCACTCGACCCTGAGAGATTGAATGATTACACAAAGCACAGGCTGCCCAAGCAGACCGAACGAGCTCACTCTTCATTACTACAGACCTTCAGGTACTTCCACTCAACCTTCAGGTACTTCCACTCAACAAACGACGGAGCAAGCCGCTAACCAAGCAAAGTGGTCGATTCCTTGGGAGGAATCGACGTCAATAAAACAACATCAGGAAAGATAGTTTATCACAGGTAATTCTCTGTTCACGTTGGACCGCGAGTAGGCTCCACAACCTCCTCAAGTGTTGGGACTAACACTCGAGTCCCCTTCCTTCCCTGTGCACGTGCCAAGTCAATTGCTCACATGTTCCTTTCCCCGCCCCCAACCTCTTCGGCACGTGTCCCCCCCCCTCAATGCCACCACCTGATTGCATACATGTCGATTCCCAACCCCCCGGACTCTTCGGCACGTGTCAATTCCGCCCCACGTGTCCAATCTCTCTTCCATGCAGACGTGAGATTGATTCTCTGAGAGAACGCCTGCGAGCGCTGCTACTCGCTACCACGTCCACATTCACTCCCCTGCGTAGATTTCTTTGGAATCTCACCGCAATTCAAGTCAAATACGTCTCAGATACGCTGTTACTCCCAACCACGTCTGCATTCACTCTCCTGCGTTGATTCGCCACGTGTCAATTCCGCCCCACGTGTCCAATCTCTCCTCCATGCAGACGTAAGATTGATTCTCTGAGAGCACACCTGCGAGCGCTGCTACTCCCAACCACGTCCACATTCCCTCTCCTGCGTAGATTTCTTTCGGAATCTGACCGCAATTCAAGTCAAATACGTCCCACATACGCTGCTACTCCCAACCACGTCTGCATGCACTCTCCTGCGTTGATTTTTTTTGGAACCTGACCAATTCACGTCATATACGTCCCAGATACAGATGCAATATACGTCCCAGATATGCCGATTCTACACAAGCAAAACATGATTCCAAAGCTAGTTTATAATGTTCTGACAATCAAACCTGGCGCAACGATGAAGCACTCCCAATCCCGCAAACACGTCTCTATTCACTTTCTCACTCGATTTCTCAAATCTGTAAAGCGTCATACACGTCCCCCAGATATGCCTATTCTGCACACGCTAATCACTGTACCAAGTCTATTTTTACACATTCTTCTACAAAACACTCAGATTGTCGTAGAACCGCGGTGAGGATGGCCATCACCATCATCACGACTACAACCCAACCGACGCCCCGCCTATTTTGCACACGCAAATCACTGTACCAAGTCTATTTAGCACATTCTTCTGACACCCACATCACGGCAGAACCGCGGTGAGCATAACCATCCACACGCAAATGACAGTACCAACTATTCTGCACACGCAAATCACAGTACCAAGTCTATTTTACACATTCTATTCACTCTCAGATCACGACAGAACCGAGTTGCGCATGGCCATCATGCGCATCACGACTACAACTCGACCTCCCTGATGATCTTTAATGCGGGAATTGCTATTTCATTTTATTTTTCTTCCAATGATCCTAGGCTTCCGCAAGTCAACCTGCAATAAAAAAAATAAAAAAAATTAAAAAAAACTTAAGTTAACACCCTCGAAAACTACACATTCTTCGGCCCAAACTCGTCTTCACTTCCAAAGGAGCGAGAAAAAAAAAAAGGAAAGAAAAATAAAATTTCGTCATGACGAGAAAAAAAAAGGAAAGAAAAATAAAAAAACTTTGTCATGACTAACAGATCCTTCGGACCCCCCATTAGAATCAAATTGCGACGGAGGCATACTGGCGGTCGTGTCCGTTCACCACGCATACGATACAAAAAGGAACCTCGACATGACAGAAGCATGGAGGACGCTCCCATTGAGCGATACTACACATCCTTCGGACTCTCCGACGATTGCGACTGCGGCAGGATGCCGGTCACCTCCCTCCTCTTCTCCCTAAATTTCTCCTCCAGCTCCTTGTCGATGTTGAACGCGTGGGATACCACTTCCAACGGCATGTTCTTCAGCAGGGAAGTCGATCCGGAGAGGAAGGACGACAAGGGCATGGAGGACGAAGTCACCGAGATGATTTCCAACGGCTCCTCCTCCGACGCCACCTTCAACGCCGCGAAGAAGCGCGGGATCGCCACCACCTGTCCTGCGCGCACCTCCGCGTCCAGCTCGTTGCGCCCGTCCGGGCCCGCGATCTGGACGCGCCCCTTCCCTCTGATAATGTAAACGATGTGGTGCGCGTTCACTGACCACACCGGGCCCACCACTGCGCCTGGCTGCAAGAACAGTCTGTACGCGCCCATTCCCAGCTGACGCAGCGCTGGCATTCGGTGCGCATTCAGCAACCACAGCTTCCCGCCCTTGTTTGCCACGTCAGCAGACGATCTGTCCAGCTCGTACACGAACTCGCCACCTGAATGCGTCAAGAGACCGGACGTCAAGGATGCCCCTTGCTCTCCATTGACGTCATCGCTCAATCCCATGCCCACCGCCATCGCCAGCTGACTGATTGTCGATGTTGTCGTCCGTGTCTGGGCCGCCTGATTGACCACGTTGTGACACGTGGCGGGGCTGGTCGCTGAGCGAGAAGGAAGTTTGACAATGGCGCTCCCGTGCTGGGACCGCAGCAGCCGCTCCACGTGGCTGACGTCCACGTTCCACGCTTTGGCCAGCAGATCCTTGCTGAATCCGAGAAGAATCGAACCCGTGTCCTTCTGGTGCTCCGCTGCTGCAGTGGAGGTCGACGACGCGCCCGCCAGATGAAAGTGCGTGCACTCCCCTGGTTGACGACCCTCCGACGTGTCCCATGCAACGAACGCCCGCAGCCGAGAATTTCCGCAGTTCACGGCCCAGCTCACCCAGCCTCGGGGAATCGCGAACACATCCCCCTGCTCGATCCTCCTGGCATTGGTTGGGAACCCGACGGGAGACATCAGTCCCACGTGGGCGGAACCTTCAAGCACGTAGAGAAGGTAATGGCAGTCTGAGTACTCGGGCAGCATCATGAAGCCGCCCTCCAACGTTACAATTCCTGCTCCCAGGGAGGCATTGGGGATCTCCTCCAGAGACCCTCCCCAGCTACTCACCGACCCGCCTTCCGCCTTAATCAGCTCTCGAAGATCACTCGTATGCCTGAGGTACTGAGAGGAAGCATGTCCTCCGCCAGCTGCCGCTGCGACTGCTGACGTGGCGCAGAGCGCCAAAAGGAGCGCCAAAAGGAGGATAGTCAGCGCGCCAGAGAGCTTCATGGTGCCCACAGGTGGATAACAATGGAGACGCACAACGAATCCAACGGAAGAGGAGCGAAATGAACGACCGTCTCGCCGTCAAGACGCTTTCGCTTTCTGTTGCCAAGCACTCCTTCCGCTCCGGTTGCCTGTCACTCACACTCGATGACGAAGAGGACGATCCACTTGTCTATAAATACAGCGAGATTCTCTATCGCCTCCTACATTCTCTTGTCCTCGCTGTCCGTGCGGTAGGGCAGGCGCGACGGTCAACTAGCCAAGTTGAACCCATCATTAACACCCCAACCCCCCGCCTCTCTTGGACGCGGAACTGACCACAGACGTTAGCTCCTAACGGTAACAAGTGGATAAGAACAGCCAAATTGAACCCGTTAACCCCCCATCTCCCCACCCCCGGCCTGGAAACAAAGAGAGAGGAGAAGCTGAACCATCTCCCTTGGGCGTGGAAGAGACCACAGGAGTACAGCTACATGTGGATCGGGACAGCCAAGTTGAACCCATTAAACCCCCGCCCACTATTCCGCCCTGGAAATAAAGATAGAGACGAAACTGAACCACACCCCCTGGGCACGGAAGAGAGTAACATACAGACCCCTGGGCACGGAAGAGAGTTACATACAGAGTTTCGGCTCATGTTGTCTACGCACTTGTCCTATGTGAGTTCCAGTGGTTGGCTGCAGTTTTCGGCCGTGACTGTCAGCGTCAGTCACAGTTACCGATTTCGGGCTCACACTGTTTTGAGCACTGATTTCCCATTTCCGGTTCTATAAGGTGGGTGTGATGTGACCTGCGTTTTCTGCCCTCAATTTCCAGCACGTTTGAGAATTTTTGTCAATAAGGCATGATCTCCTGCATATGGAGGATCAGTGGTTTGCACGAAAGGAGAGGAGATCAACAAGGGGGAGCATTTGGAAAGCTGGAACCAGGAACCAGGAACCACGCAACTTACCCAGGATGCATTTGGATGCGACCAGCCGGCACTGCTACACAGGTCTCTTCCAGACAAAATAGGAATTTGATAGGTCGTAGAGGATGCCAGATCGCACAGAAGTGAGTCAAGAAGGAGGGCCGCAGGCCCGCACACTTTCTAAAACCGCCCAACTCCCTCCATCGTCCCGCAAGTGACTTCGCCGTCTTGTAGGGAATGGTGGAACGAGCAAATGAGCAATGTTGGTTGTAGGCAAAAGCGTTCTACTCCCGAAATTGAAGCTGGATACTAGGCCGGTCTTGAATGGAGCAGCACATTGGTTGGGGAATATGGAGCTGGTCGGCGATAGAGAGATGAAATGAATGGAGAAGCTCCTCCTTGCTTTGAATGAATGGTTGGAACAGAATAATGTTGGAAGAGACTGCATGACCTGTATCGACTTGAACGTGTTGTCATTTTTTAGCAGTCAGTGGCTTTTGAAGTGGAGGGTCGGTGCTGAACTTCCGATGTCGAAGGTCTTTCGCTCGTGTCTCCATGAGACTCCATCAACCGTAGATGCGGTTGTTAATTGCTTGAGTGCATGCTTCCAACTGCTTGGAAGAGATGGTGATAGGGACCCTTGTTGAAGTCGCAGAGTGCGAGCATTCTGAAAAGCTTACCAGGATTATTCTTTGCAGAGAGGTGTGGTGGAGGAGTCATCGCGTCCTTTGAGAGGGGTGAAGTTGAGAAGAGTGTTGGAACATAGGGCCTCATTAGACACTCCTTGGGGACGTGAAATCCACAAGGACGCGCTCGTTCCACCTGTCCTTGGGGACAAAATTGAAAAAGAAATGTGAAAACGCCACAAGGAAAATTCCTTGTGGCATCCTTGTGGCCCCAGCCATTTCTTCCTTGTGCCCAAGGGACCTCACGAGGTCCCTTAGGCACAAGGAATCCGCGTTTCACGAAGAGGAGAGGGCACATAGATAGACGTTACAGCTGAGAATCTCGATCGTGGCGGCGCCCTATTGGCTGAAGGCCTGAAGCACAACTGTTTTCTTTTTTCTTTTCTTTTTTTTTCTTCTGACATCAGTCTTAGGAAATGTCCTCGGGCGACGTCCCCAAGGACAGGCGGAACGAAGAGCCCAAATTCCCTTACGAGCCACAAGAAAAATTCCGTGTGGCTCAAGGAATTCGTAAGGAGTGTCTAACGAGGCCCATATTCGAGAAAAAGTGAGAGTGTTGAAAGGATATCCAGAAGCGCAGGCTTATCTTGATGGTGGAGCTTTCTTATATTTGTGGGAGAATTAGCAGCGATGTGGTGAAGAATTGAGATTGCAGTATAACGGGATAGATTTTGAGCAAGGGGTTGTGAAGCTAGGGTATACAAAAATTGATAAAAAAGAGAAGAGGTTTATGATTAGGTTGCGAGATCCGCATGGCGAGGACGAGACCTTTATGGGTTCGCTTCCAGAGTTAGTGCGTAGTTGTGATCAGTTAGAGCAGCATATAAAAAAAGGATATGTATTCTGATCCATGCGCTGTGAAGGTCCAATGAGTGGTGGTGGTTTTAATAAGTGCATAGAGAAGTGGTTTGAAGAAGCGGATGTTTATGAACGAGAGAGTGGTCTTAGTTTTCGGACAGAGGGGTTCGACCAGAAATAGAGGAGGGATGAAGTTTGGGGGAGATGATGAGACAGGGACCATGGAGCAGTGTCGGGACCTTTATGAGGTATGGTTATGGGATTCTATGAGGATGAAAAACAAGGACCGAGGAGGATGGTTTAGAACGGAAAGAAGATTGTTGTGAGGTCGAGGATTGCGGGGTTGGGGGCGCTAAAGTGGACCATAGGGCAGGGGAGGCAAAAAAATCTGGATTTCGGATTGGTAAAGTGGTTGATAACGCCTATGAATCCCCCGCGGTCGTGGTCGAAGCGGGCACGACCGCGGACCACGGTCTCGGCCGCGAGGCCACGGTCATGAAAAAAAAAATAGAATTCAGACAAATCTGAAACAACTATATGTTATGCCAAAACATAAACTGGACAACTTTTGCCTCGAGGTCATATCAAAATTCGTTACAAAATTTGAGATAAAAATAAAACAAAATCCTTTATTTTTCTTACTAAAAGAATAAAGTGAATAACTTTTGTCTGAGGGATTTCTGGTTTTTTTTTTTTTTTAATACAAAAAAAAGTCAAGAATATAACTAAAAATATACGGTTGTAGAGCGCATAAAAACCTACAACCATTTATTATTATTATTATTTTTTGCCTCTCATCCTATGATTAAAAAATATCGGGTTTTTTTAATTAATTTTTTCCAATTTTTTTTTTCGAACGTACGGCCTCTACGACCACATAAGCTGGTACGTACGTACGGCCCGTATTCGTACAGGGGTCTACATAGGGGAAAACGAATGGTCTATGATGGAAGGAAAAAGCATTTGTGAAAACTAAGTAAGAAGCCAGGTTATGAAATAAAGCGATATAGTTGAATGATTGTCACATGAGTAAAAGAAAGTTTTTGTTGGAGAGTGCAGAATCATCGATGTAAGAAGTGACAAAAACATTACGGAGGTCAAGTTTTGTCATAATTTCCTGCATAATAGTTGTAATTTGTAAAGGTCCAACATGCTAAATAAATGTCAAAACATAGGGTTGCAAACTGATAATTGAGTTTTTTCCAGTTGAAGGCCAGAGAAGGGGGGCGTTTTAGGGCTATGTGACACCCGCAGCCTAGGCCGCGGGCATTTCGGCCGCGACCGCGACCGATGAGGCCAAGTCCGCGGCCTGTTTTTTCAATATTTCCCCCCCTCCTCTAAAATTACGAAAACATTATATATATACATATAGGGGTGTAGGGCATGGAAAACCCTACACTTCTATATTTTTTGTTTTGGAATCCGACTTTGTTTAAGATTTTTAAAAAATCAAAAACTAAAATCGATTTAAACCTAGGCTACCAGAGTGGCCCGGGGTCACTTGCCCGGCCGGGCCAAAAAAATAAAAAACAAAAATATATTTTGAATTTTAAATTTTTATTTTCATTTAAGTGAAGAATTTCGATGTGACCCTAAGGCAAAAGTTGCTCAGTTTATGTTTCTGCATAACATAGTTTTTTTTCGGATTTTTTGCAGTTTTTTTTTTTTTTTTTTTTTTGGGACCTCCTTGCACGGGCTGGCCACCCGGGACCCGGGCGGCCCGGCTGGTAGCCTAGATTTAAACAAAATTAAATATATATATATAAAGAAAAACAAGAATTTTTTTGGTCATTTTTTATCCTGAGATCTTTGATTCCTGAGTCGACCTGTGTTTTTTTTTTAAATGAATTTCTGTTTTTTGCAGGGAAATGGGTGTTTTAAAAAAAAATGCAATTGCAAAATTTGAAAACAAATAAACAAAAAAAGGGTTTGATTGATTGATTGATTGATTGATTGATTGATTGATTGATTGATCTAATTTGATTGATTGATTGATTGATTTGATTTGATTGATTGATTGATTGAGTGAGTGTG